GTTTGTTTTTCCTGTGACATAAACAGAGGGATCTGAAATAACCCGCATTAGAGCTTTAATTTGTGTTTATTCAGTCAAGCAAGCTGTGTTTATTAGTCCTGGTCTGGTCTTGTTTTAGTCCCAGTCTGGTCTTGTTTTAGTCCCGGTCTGGTCTTGTTTTAGTCCCGGTCTGGTCTTGTTTTAGTCCCGGTCTGGTCTTGTTTTAGTCCCGGTCTGGTCTTGTTTTAGTCCCGGTCTGGTCTTGTTTTAGTCCCGGTCTGGTCTTGTTTTCGGACTTTATTTTGCGGCGAACTGGTCGTGGATTCTCGTCCACCATCGTGTGACCTGCGAGGAAACGACAGTTTGAAAAAGCCTCTAAGAACCGCTGCATAAACCCATAAATCCCTGTGCGCCGAGAGTCAGTTACACTAGAAACGTAGGGAGTTTGATTGACAACCTAACAGCCAATAGATAAAGAGGGAGCCTCGTTTTCTATTGGCTGATGTTTATCTGGCCTCACTACGTCCACAGTTGATAGATTTTAATTCTTTTTTTTTTTTTTTTGGTCATAATTACAAAGCTGCTACGTCTCTGTAATGGGATTTTAAACTTTCAATGACAATTTGAAACAAAACAAAAAATCCTCCATACAACCTTTAAACTCCCTATTGACGGGCATCAACATACATATGTACACACACATATACATATATAATACATATATACAGCATCTAAATAAACACACATACCCATATACACATATTATAGTATATATGTTATATATACATACACATGTATATATAACATATATACATACACATGTATATATAACATATATACATGTGTATGTATATATGTTATATGTACATACACATGTATATATAACATATATACATGTGTATGTATATATGTTATATATACATACACGTGTATATACACTTTCACACACACACACACACAAAAAACCCACACATATCCAGGTTTACAGTCCCTGACAAAAGTCTTGTTGTTTATCCATTTTGTAGAAACAAGTTTATAACTTGACTTTAAATGAATCGATTGGTTTTAGAAATGTCTCATATGAAGCTAAAACCCTCCCAAATTATGATCAATAAACTAAAATAAATGTTCTTCACTGAAGAAAGATTGATCATTTAATGAACACAGAAAGGTCAGATTTTGACAAGACAAAAGTCTTGTGGTCTTGTCATATGATGCACCAATCCTAGATTACAGCCTCACCTGTGATCAGTTACTGATCAATCAGTTAGTGTTTGTGTATAAAAAGAACCCAGCAGAACCAGACCTTCACATCAACTGCAACTTGACCTCTGACAACATGCCTCAGATCCACCCTGAGACCAAAGCCTTAATTATCAAGAGGCTGAAGACCAGATCCACTGCTGAGGTGGTGACACCTTCAATGTGTCTCAGCGTCAAGTACAAAGAAGAAGAAAAAGATCTGAAATGACTGGAGATGTTTTTGACAAGCCCAGGTCCAGCAGACGCCGCAAGACAACTGCTCTGGAGGAAAATCCAAGGCCCCTTTTCCACTGCAGCAGACTCCACCAGGCCTGGTCACCTCAAGTCCCTGTGTCCACCACAACAGTTTGTAGAATTCTGTCTGGAAATGGCCTCCATGGTGGAATCAGTGCACAGAAACCAGCACTAAACAAAAGACAATTAAAAAAGCCGTGTGGCATTTGCCAAGGCCCACAGCCTGATAAAAGGATGGACACTGGAAAAGTGGCAGAAGGTGGATTTCTCAGATGAATCCTCGGTTGAATTACATCACAGCCGCCGCAAATATTGCAGGAGACCAACTGGAGCCGCATGGATCCAAGATTCACCCAGAAAACAGTGAAGTTTGGTGGAGGAAAAATCCTGGTCTGTGGTTCCATCCAGTCTGGGGGTGTGAGACATTTGCAGGGTGGAAGGTAAATATCAATAACCTAAAATATCAAGAAGTATTAACTTCCTCTTACATTCCCAACCATAAAAGGGTCAGATTTTGCAGCAGGATGGTGCTCCATCACATACTTCTATCTCTACATCAAAGTTTGTCAAGGTGAAGAAGATCAAGGTGCTGCAGGACTGACCAGTCCAGTCACCAGACATGAACATCATGGAGCAGGTCTGGGGTAGAATGAAAGAGGAAACATGAAGACAAAACCAAAGAATCTTGATGAACTCTGGGAGGCTGTAAGACGCTTTCTTTACTATTCCTGATGACTTCATCAACAAACTGTATGAATCATTGTGGAACCACATGGATGTGTCCTTCAAGCTCATGGAGTCATACAAGATATTAAATCTGATCTCACAGCATCACGACTTCATTCACTGACGTTATGCAACAGATTTTTGTATTTGAAGTCAATTATTTGTTCAATTTTCTGTAGGCGACAAAACTTTTGTCTTGCCAAAATCTGACCTTTCTGTGTTCATTAAATGATCAATCTTTCTTCAGTGAAGAACATTTATTTTAGTTTATTGATCATAATTTGGGAGGGTTTTAGCTTCATATGAGACATTTCTAAAACCAATCGATTCATTTAAAGTCAGATTATAAACTTTTGTTTCTACAAAATGGATAAACAACCCGGCCGGGCTCAGCCCGAAAGGAGGACGTGGGTCCACCCTCCTGTGGGCTCACCACCCGCAGAGGGGTTCATAGGGGTCGGGTGCATAGAGGACTGGGCGGCGGTCGAGGACGGGTGTCCCGACAGCCTGGTCCACACACACAGCATCTGGCTGTGGCGACGTGGAACGTCACCTCACTGGGGGGAAGGAGCCCGAGCTTGTGCGGGAGGTTGAGAGATACCGGCTAGATATAGTCGGGCTCACTTCTACGCACAGCTTGGGCTCTGGTACCCAACTCCTTGAAGGGGGTTGGACCCTCCATTTCTCTGGCGTTGCCCACGGGGAGCGGCGGCGAGCTGGTGTGGGCTTATAGCCCCACAGCTCAGCCGCCACGTGTTGGAGTTCACCCCAGTGAACGAGAGGGTCGTGTCCCTGCGCCTTCGGGTCGGGGACAGGTCTCTCACTGTGGTGTCGGCCTACGGGCCGAACAGCAGTGCTGAGTACCCGGCCTTCTTGGAGTCCCTGGGAGGGGTACTGGACAGTGCACCGACTGGGGACTCCGTTGTTCTACTGGGGGACTTCAACGCCCACGTGGGCAACGCCAGTGACACTTGGAGAGGGGTGATCAGGAGGAACGGCCTCCCCGATCTGAACCCGAGTGGCGTTTTTTTGTTATTGGACTTCTGTGCTAGTCACAGTTTGTCCATAACGAACACCATGTTCGAGCACAAGGGTGTCCATAAGTGCACGTGGCACCAGGACACCCTAGGCCGGAGGTCGATGATCGACTTTGTCGTCGTGTCATCTGATCTCCGGCCGCGTGTCTTGGACACTCGGGTGAAGAGAGGGGCTGAGCTGTCAACTGATCACCACCTGGTTGTGAGTTGGGTTCGCTGGCGGAGGAGGAAGCCGGAGGGACCTGGCAGGCCCAAGCGTGTAGTGAGGGTCTGTTGGGAACGTCTGGCGGAGCCTCTGTCAGGGGGATCTTCAACTCACACCTCCGGGAGGACTTCTCCCAGATTCCCGGGGGAGGCTAGAGACATGGAGTCCGAGTGGCTATGTTCTCAGCCTCCATTGTCAATGCAGCTGCTCGTAGCTGTGGGCGTAAGGTCTGTGGTGCCTGTCGCGGCGGCAATCCCCGAACCCGGTGGTGGACACCGGAAGTAAGGGATGCCGTCAGGCTGAAGAAGGAGTCCTATTGGGCCTTGTTAGCTCATGGGACTCCTGAAGCAGCTGACGGGTACCGGCGGGCCAAGCGTGCTGCAGCCCGTGCGGTTGCGGAGGCAAAAACTCGGAGCTGGGAGGAGTTCGGGGAGGCCATGGAGAAGGACTATCGGACGGTCTCAAAGAGATTCTGGCAAACCGTCCGGCGCCTCAGGAGGGGGAAGCAGTTCTTCACCAACACTGTTTACAGTGCGGGGGGAGAGCTGCTGACCTCGACTGGGGACGTTGTCCGGCGGTGGAAGGAAAACTTTGAGGATCTCCTCAATCCCACCGTCACGTCTTCCGAGGAGGAGGCCGAGGCTGGGGACTCGGAGGTGGACTCATCCATCACCCTGGCTGAAGTCACTGAGGTGGTTGGAAAGCTCCTTGGTGGCAAGGCTCCGGGGTTGGACGAGATCCGTCCTGAGTACCTTAAGTCTCTGGATGTTGTGGGTCTTGGCTGACACGCCTCTTCAACATCGCGTGGCGGTCGGGGACAGTACCTCTGGACTGGCAAACCGGGGTGGTGGTCCCTCTGTATAAGAAGGGGGACCGGAGGGTGTGTTCCAACTATAGGGGGATCACACTCCTCAGCCTTCCCGGTAAGGTCTATGCCAGGGACTGGAGAGGAGAATCCGGCCGATAGTCGAACCTCGGATTCAGGAGGAGCAGTGTGGTTTTGGTCCTGGCCGTGGAACACTGGACCAGCTCTACACTCTCCATCAGGTCCTCGAGGTTCATGGGAGTTTGCCCAACCAGTCCACATGTGTTTTGTGGACTTGGAGAAGGCATTCGACCGTGTCCCTCGTGGTGTCCTGTGGGGGGTGCTCTGGGAGTATGGGGTCCGGGGCCCTTTGCTAAGGGCTGTCCGGTCCCTGTATGACCGGAGCAGGAGCTGTGTTCATTGCCGGCAGTAAGTCAGACCTGTTCCCGGTGCATGTTGGACTCCGCCAGGGCCGCACCTGTCACCGGTTCTGTTCATTGTATTTATGGACAGAATTTCTAGGCGCAGTCAGGGGCCGGAGGGGGTCCGGTTTGGGGACCACAGGATCTCATCTCTGCTGTTTGTGGATGATGTTGTCCTGTTGGCTTCATCGAACCAGGACCTGCAGCACTGGGGCGGTTTGACCCGAGTGTGAAGCGGCTGGGATGAAGATCAGCTCTTCTAAGTCTGAGGCCATGGTTCTCGACCGGAAAAAGGTGTCTTGTCCTCTCCGGGTGGGTGGAGAGTCTCTGCCTCAAGTGGAGGAGTTCAAGTATCTCGGGGTCTTGTTCACGAGTGAGGGAAGGACGGAACGTGAGATTGACAGGTGGACAGGTGCAGCTTCGGCAGTGATGCGGTCGCTGTATCGGTCGTTGTGGTGAAGAGGAGCTGAGTCGAAAGGCGAAGCTCTCGATTTACCGGTCAGTCTTCGTTCCTACTCTCACCTCTGGTCATGAGTCTGGGTAGTGACCGAAAGGACGAGATCGCGGATACAAGCCCTCGAAATGAGTTTCCTCCGCAGGGTGTCTGGGCGTCTCCCTTAGAGACAGAGTGAGGAGCTCAGTCACACGGGAGGAGCTCGGAGTAGAGCCGCTGCTCCTCCACGTCGAGAGGAGCCAGTTGAGGCTCGGGCATCTGTTCCGGATGCCTCCTGGCGTCCTCCCTCGGGAGGTGTTCATGTCCCACTGGGAGGAGGCCACGGGGAAGACCCAGGACACACTGGCGGGACTATGTCTCTGGGCTGGCCTGGGAACACCTCGGGATCCCCCTGGAAGAGCTGGAGGAAGTGTCTGTGGAGAGGGAAGTCTGGGAGGCCCTCCTCAGACTGTTGCCCCCGCGACCCGACCTTGGATAAGCGGAAGAAAATGGATGGATGGATAAACAACAAGACTTTTGTCAGGGACTGTATATTTCCTCCATCAAAAGACATGAACAGAAATTGCTTTATACATACTTGTTATGTACCATATATAGAAAGTTAACTGAAAATATACATATTGTGAACACTCTAAGAACATATATTATAATCAAAAATCTCCAGGTAACAACTATACAATAGATTCAGATCTCAGTTTGATCAACAGATTGGACCAGCAAGAAATGTTTTTGGTTTTTGCTCGGTGCATTTGAGCAGCAGAAAACTCCAGTTGAACGATTTCAGTGAAAGACGAGAGCCGTTCTCTCTGTCACAGGCTGAACTGATTTCCACCGGTGTATCACCGTTTTGTTGGCAGCTGTAAGACCTGCTCGTGATACGCGACGATTGTTAATTGTCAGATTTAGTTTGGACACATCGTTTAGCAAAAGAAACGTCTGAGTGCAGGTCTGTTATTCCTGTTAATTTAGACATTGTCTTTGTGAGGATTTCCCAAAATTGTGCCACCTCCGGGCGCTGCCATGTCATATGTACATAAGTGCCCACAGTTTGTTCTATGCAAATTCGCAGTATGGATTGTCTTTTATTTTCATTTGGTGTAATCTTCTACAGCAGGAGAGTCAAACTCATTTTGTTCCAGGCATCGACTTTGATCCAAAGTGTCTGGATCAGAAAACTCACGTCATATAAACCCCAAAAATAACAAGAAGTTCAAATATTTGTGCAGAGAAACACAAATCTATTACACAAATCTTTTTTAATTGATGAACTTTCTTTTACAAAATATTATAATATTATTAAGAACCTGAAATTTTAAGAAAAATACAATTTCAACACAAAGTTTGAACATGAACTTGTTTAAAATTAGGGATAAGTTATTTTTTGTTGTAAAATTCTGCACTCGGCTCCACTTTTCTCATGTTGGACATTTTTCTGATGAGGGTCACGGTCGACAGTCAAAACCATCGTCCTTTAAGACGTTTGGAAAGAGACAAGTCTTCATTTGTGCTGCTCTGGTGGGAGGGGCCACGTACAGAGACTCTGCTCTGGTGGGAGGGGCCACGTACAGAGACTCTGCTCTGGTGGGAGGGGCCACGTACAGAGACTCTGCTCTGGTGGGAGGGGCCACGTACAGAGACACTGCTCTGGTGGGAGGGGCCACGTACAGAGACTCTGGAGACACTATGCTAAGCAGTGGCAGAAAATTACTAATATTTTAATAAAAAATATAATTGAAATATTTTAGTAGAAAATCAGCCAAGGGCCACATTAAAGGTCTTGGAGGGCCGGATCTGGCCCCCGGGCCGCATGTTTGACACCTGTGTTCTAAGGTATAAATAAACTCTATGAATAATTTTGTGATGAATCATGTGGTGATTCCTTGATGAAAGCAAAATGTTGGACCAGATCTGGTTCCAGTCCTGTTCATCCCTCAGGTCCTGTTCATCCCTCAGGTCCTGTTCATCCCTCAGGTCCTGTTCATCCCTCAGGTCAGTTTTCCAAAGCCGCTCGACAGGTAGAATTTTTTGTGTGAATTTAACGATTAGTTTATATAATTCAGAAATCATCCCGGAGCTTTTCTGGCACCTGTGTCCGGGGGGGGGGGGGGGGGGGGGGGGGGGGGGGGGGGGGGGCACATTCCCGACGGGATTCCAAAGAAATCCAATCACCGAGCTCCTTCAGCTCCTTCAGAATAAAAGCCTCTAACCCGCTCCGTGACCCGAACCCCCGAACCCCGGCGCGTCCCGGCGCGTCACGGCCGCGTCCCGGCGCGTCACGGCCGCGTCCCGGCGCGTCCGGCGCGTCCGGCCGGCGTCCCGGCGCGTCCCGGCCGCGTCGCGGAGGCGTAAGAGTAAATACACACCAGTGAACAGGCTCGTGCTTTACTGTGAAAGACCCCGGATGCTCGTGCTGTTTCACGGGGGACACTTCTAGACCCGGATTAGTCCTGGGTTAGACCAGATTAAGACCTGGTTCAGGCCGGATTCTGCAGAGGACTTCACCCCAAAACATGAGCAGCGACGGTAAATGTGAAACTTTATGTTTTTATTTCACTTTTCACACAAACACGCGGATCGATGCGTCTGATCAGAACCAGATCCAGTCTGGACCCGGTCTGGACCCGGTCTAAACCCGGTCTGGACACGCCCTTCAGTCTGCAGACCAGGACCCGCGCTAGTCCTGGTTCAGTCCCGGTTTACAACTGGGTTAGACCTGGTTTAGTCCTGGTTTAGATCTGGTTTAGTCCTGGTTTAGACCTGGTTTAGACCTGGTTTAGACCTGGTTTAGATCTGGTTTACCCCTGGTTTAGACCTGGTTTAGACCTGGTTTAGACCTGGTTTAGACCTGGTTTAGATCTGGTTTAGTTCTGGTTTAGTCCTGGTTTAAACCTGGTTTAGTCCTGGTTCAGTCCCGGTTTACAACTGGTTTACCCCTGGTTTAGACCTGGTTTAGACCTGGTTTAGACCTGGTTTAGACCTGGTTTAGATCTGGTTTAGTTCTGGTTTAGTCCTGGTTTAAACCTGGTTTAGTCCTGGTTCAGTCCCGGTTTACAACTGGTTTAGTCCTGGTTTAGTCCTGGTTTAGACCTGGTTTAGTCCTGGTTTAGACCTGGTTTAGTCCTGGTTTTAGACCTGGTTTAGTCCTGGTTTAGTCCTGGTTTAGTCCTGGTTTAGACCTGGTTTAGTCCTGGTTTAGACCTGGTTTAGACCTGGTTTAGTCCTGGTTCAGTCCTGGTTTAGTCCTGGTTTAGACCTGGTTTAGTCCTGGTTTAGACCTGGTTTAGACCTGGTTTAGTCCTGGTTTAATTCTGGTTTAGACCTGGTTTAGTCCTGGTTTAGTCCTGGTTTAGTCCTGGTTTAGTCCTGGTTTAGTCCTGGTTTAGACCTGGTTTAGACCTGGTTTAGTCCTGGTTTAGTCCTGGTTTAGTCCTGGTTTAGACCTGGTTTAGACCTGGTTTAGTCCTGGTTTAGTCCTGGTTCAGGTCAGGTCTTTTGGAGGACGTCAGTGGTTTTTCAGGTTTCTTCTTCTGACATTTAGAGCGTCGCCTCGAGCTCTGACTCTGTCCTAGTCTGGTCTTGTTTTAGTCCTAGTCTGGTCTTGTTTTAGTCCTGGTCTGGTCTTGTTTTAGTCCTGGTCTGGTCTTGTTTTAGTCCTGGTCTGGTCTTGTTTTAGTCCTGGTCTAGTTTCCACGCAGACAAAGGAAATTTTGGGATCAAACCCAGAACCTTCTTGCTCTGAAACATGATTGTTGTAGTTTTTGTCCTGTTTTGATCCTGGCTCCGTCCTGGTCTAGTTCCTCTTTAGGCCTGGTTCGGTCCTGGTTCGGTCCTGGTTCGGTCCTGGTTCGGTCCTGGTTCGGTCCTGGTTCGGTCCTGGTTCGGTCCTGGTTCGGTCCTGGTTGGTCCTGTTGTTGCTCAGAGTCTCATGTGAACCAACAGCTGAGATCCTCCCTGAAACCCGACCCAGACCACGACTGGACCCAGACCACGACTGGACCCAGACCACGACTGGACCCAGACCACGACTGGACCCAGACCACGACTGGACCCAGACCTGTGTGAGGAGGGAAGAATGCTCAGAAAAAATCTGGTTTAGTCCTGGTTTGGTCTTGTTTTAGTCCTGATTTAGACCTGGTTTAGTCCTGGTTCGGTCCTTGTTTGGTCCTGGTTCGGTCCTGGTTCAGACCTGGTTCAGACCTGGTTTAGTTCCTGGTTTAGTCCTGGTTTAGACCTGGTTTAGTCCTGGTTTAGACCTGGTTTAGACCTGGTTTAGACCTGGTTTAGTCCTGGTTTAGTCCTGGTTTAGTCCTGGTTTAGACCTGGTTTCCTGGTTTAGTCCTGGTTTAGACCTGGTTTAGACCTGGTTTAGACCTGGTTTAGTCCTGGTTTAGTCCTGGTTTAGACCTGGTTTAGACCTGGTTTAGACCTGGTTTAGGGTTTAGTCCTGGTTTAGTCCTGGTTTAGACCTGGTTTAGACCTGGTTTAGTCCTGGTTTCCTGGTTTTAGTCCTGGTTCAGACCTGGTTTAGACCTGGTTTAGACCTGGTTTAGACCTCCTGGTTTAGACCTGGTTTAGTGGTTTAGCCTGGTTTAGTCCTGGTTTAGTCCTGGTTCTCCTGGTTTAGGCGTCTGGTTTAGTCTGGTTTAAACATCTGGTTTAGACGTCTTGTTCTCAAACGTTCTTCTGTTCCGTCTGTTTCAGCCGTGTATCCGCCGCCGTCTGCGCCCCCTGCTGGCATGAACCTGCCTGGATACGAAGGCATCGGAGCAGGTGAGGAACCCACCAGGTCATCCCCCCACCACCAGGTCATCCCCCCCACCACCAGGTCAACCCCCCCCCCTGAGGTTAAAATGAAAACTGCTTAGTCCTAGTTTTAGTCCTGGTTCAGACCTGGTTCAGAGTCCTGGTTTAGTCTGGTTTAGTCCTGCCTGGTTTAGTCCTGGTTTTAGTCCTGGTTTAGTCCTGGTTTAGACCTGGTTTAGACTGGTTTAGTCCTGGTTTAGTCCTGGTTTAGTCTGGTTTAGTCCCTGGTTTAGACCTGGTTCAGACCTGGTTTAGTCCTGGTTTTAGTCCCTGGTTTAGTCTGGTTAGTCCTGGTTTAGTTCCTGGTTTAGACCTGGTTTAGACCTGGTTTAGTCCTGGTTTAGACCTCCTGGTTTAAGTCCTGGTTTAGTCCTGGTTTAGACCTGGTTTTAGTCCTGGTTTAGTCCTGGTTTAGTTGACCTGGTTTAGACCTGGTTTAGTCCTGGTTTAGTCCTGGTTTAGACCTGGTTTAGTCCTGGTTTAGTCCTGGTTAGACCTGGTTTAGTCCTGGTTTAGTCCTGGTTTAGACCTGGTTTAGTCCTGGTTTAGTCCTGGTTTAGTCCTGGTTTAGTCCTGGTTTTGGTAGACCTGGTTTAGACCTGGTTTAGACCTGGTTTAGTGTTAGTTTTAGTCCTGGTTTAGACCTGGTTTAGTCCTGGTTTAGTCCTGGTTTAGTCCTGGTTTAGTCCTGGTTTAGTCCTGGTTTAGACCTGGTTTAGACCTGGTTTAGACCTGTTTAGTCCTGGTTTAGACTGGTTTAGACCTGGTTTAGTCCTGGTTTAGACCTGGTTTCCTGGTTTGGTTTAGTCCTGGTTTAGACCTGGTTTAGTCCTGGTTTAGGTTTAGACCTGGTTTAGACCTGGTTTAGTCCTGGTTTAGTCCTGGTTTAGTCCTGGTTTACCTGGTTTAGACCTGGTTTAGTCCTGGTTTAGTCCTGGTTTAGACCTGGTTTAGAGTCCTGGTTTAGTCCTGGTTTAGTCAGACCTGGTTTAGACCTCCTGGTTTAGTCCTGGTTTAGAGACCTGGTTTAGTCCTGGTTTAGACCTGGTTCAGACCTGGTTTAGTCCTGGTTCAGATCTGTTCTCTGTTTCAGGAGGGTATCTTCCTCCTCCGGTGCCTCTGGAGCCCATCGCCCCCCCCCAGCCTGGCCCCTCCCCCAACGACTGGACGTACGTGCACGCTCACGCTCACACTCACACTCACGTGCGCGCTCACGTGCGCGCTCACACTCACGCTCACGCTCACGCGCGCACACTCACGCTCACACTCCGCGCTCACACTCACGTGCGCGCTCACACTGCGCACTCACAGCTCAACGTGCGCGCTCACACTCACGCTCACACTCACGTGCGCGCTCACACTCACGTGCGCGCTCACGTGCGCGCTCACACTCACGCTCACGTGCGCGCTCACACTCACGTGCTCACACTCACGTGCGCGCTCACACTCACGCTCACACTCACGTGCGCGCTCGCTCGCGCTCACACTCACGTGCGCGCTCACACTCACGTGCGCGCTCACACTCGCGCTCACACTCACGTGCGCGCTCACACTCACGTGCGCGCTCACACTCACGTGCGCGCTCACGTGCGCGCTCACACTCACGTGCGCGCTCACCATTAAACTCCTGTCTGTGCTCGTTTGATGGAAATATGAAAAACTTCACAGTATTTTACAGAAACTCGAGTTCATCTGATTAAAAACATCATCTACATTTGAACAACATTTTAAAGTTGTACGTTTATATTCTGCACCTGAACAAAAGCAACAGGCGTCCACCACTTCAAGAACGTTTTCAAGTTCGGGCCGTCTGCTTTTGTCGCCTCTGAAGCTTTTGTCGTGTTTTTTGCATTGAGTCAGTTCGTCATGGCTTACCGAACCCTAAACCCTAAACCTTCAACCTTCAACCCTAAACCTAAACCTTAAACCCTAACCCAACCCTCAACCTAACCTTAACCTTAAACCCTAAACCTTAAACCTTCAACCCTAAACCCTAAACCTTAAACCCTAAACCCTCAATCCTCAACCCTAAACCTAAACCTCAACCCTAAACCCTAAACCCTAAACCCTAAACCCTAAACCCTCAAGCCTCAACCTTAACCTTAAACCCTAAACCTTAAACCCTCAAGCCTAACCTTATACCTTAAACCTTCAACCCTAAACCCCAAACCTTAAACCCTAAACCCTCAACCCTAACCTTAACCTTAAACCCTAACCTTAAACCTCACCTAAACCCTAAACCTTAAACCTTAAACCTTCAACCCTTAAACCCTAAACCTTAAACCTAAACCCTCAACCTAACCTTAACCTTAAACCCTAAAACCTAAACCCTAAACCTCAACCCTAAACCTTAAACCCTAAACCTAAACCTTAAACCCTCAAGCTAACCTTAACCTTAAACCCTAAACCTTAAACCCTCAAGCCTAACCTTATACTTAAACCTTCAACCCTAAACCCCAAACCTTAAACCCTAAACCCTCAACCCTAACCTTAACCTTAAACCCTCAACCTTAAACCTTCAACCCTAAACCCAAACCTTAAACCCTAAACCCTCAATCCTCAACCCTAAACCTTAAACCCTCAACCTTAAACCCTAAACCCTCAACCTTAAACCCTCAATCTTAAACCCTAAACCTTAAACCCTAAATCTTAAACCTTAAACCCTAAACCCTCAATCTTAAACCCTTAACCCTAAACCCTAAACCCTAAACCTAAACCTTAAACCTTAAACCCTAACCCCTGTAGGTGTATTGATCAGGTATAGGTGGACGTCCGGCTCCTGAAGTTGAAGTCGTTTGTTGTCTTTACACTCACCTGATGAAACACACACGGGTCATTCAGGCGTTTTCCCCTCACTGATGTTCGTTTAGCATCAGAACTTATTTAAGCGCACGGTGAGACCCCGGACACTCGGGCTGTGGCGAACCCGCGGTGTCGCCAAACCACAGACCGTTTGTACGACTGGACAACGTGCCAAAGAATCCATCCAGATATTCACCGCATCGTTTTTATAAACCGCAGAATCAGAGTGTGACAAAAAAGTAACGGCTTATAGTCCGGAAATTACACTCCTCTCACTTTACTCTCACTTTACTTGCACTTTACTCTCATTTTTCTCTCACTTTACTCCCGCTTTTCTCTCGCTTTACTCTCACTTTACTCTCATTTTACTCTCACTTTACTCCCGCTTTTCTCTCACTTTACTCCCGCTTTTCTCTCGCTTTACTCTCACTTTACTTGCACTTTACTCTCACTTTACTCTCACTTTACTCTCATTTTACTCTCATTTTACTCTCACTTTACTCTCCTTTACTTTACTCTTTTCACTTTACTCTCACTCTCACTTCTCACTTTACTCTCATTTTCTCCTCTCACTTTACTCTCACTTTACGCTTTTCTCTCTCTCGCTTTACTCTCACTTTACTCTCACTTTACTCTCATTTTTACTCTCTCATTTTTACTCTCACTTTTACTCTCATTTTACTCCTTCGCTTTTCTCTCACTTACTTTACTCTCACTTTACTCTCACTTTTACTCTCGCTTTACTCTCGCTTTTCTCTCTCTCGCTTTACTCTTTTACTCTCGCTTTACTCTCACTTTACTCTCACTTTACTCTCACTTTACTCTCACTCTTACTTTACTCTCTCACTTTACTCCCGCTTTTCTCTCGCTTTACTCTCCGCTTTTCTCTCGCTTTACTCTCACTTTACTCTCATTTACTCTCACTTTACTCTCACTTTACTCTCATTTTACTCTCATTTTACTTCTCACTTTACTCCCGCTTTTCTCTCACTTTACTCTCACTTTACTCTCTCATTTTACTCTCGCTTTACTCTCGCTTTTCTCTCGCTTTACTCTCACTTTACTCTCACTTTACTCTCACTTTACTCTCGCTTTACTCTCACTTTACTCTCATTTTATTCTCACTTTACTCTCATTTATTCTCTTTCTCACTTTATTCTCACTTTACTCTCACTTTACTCTCGCTTTACTCTCGCTTTACTCTCGCTTTACTCTCATTTTACTCTCACTTTACTCCCGCTTTTCTCTCGCTTTACTCTCACTTTACTCTCACTTTACTCTCATTTTACTCTCACTTTACTCTCACTTTACTCCCGCTTTTCTCTCACTTTACTCTCACTTTACTCTCATTTTACTCTCGCTTTACTCTCGCTTTTCTCTCGCTTTACTCTCACTTTACTCTCACTTTACTCTCACTTTACTTGCACTTTACTCTCACTTTACTCTCACTTTACTCTCATTTTACTCTCATTTTACTCTCACTTTACTCTCACTTTACTCTCACTTTACTCTCATTTTACTCTCACTTTACTCCCGCTTTTCTCTCGCTTTACTCTCACTCTCTCACTTTACTCTCATTTTACTCTCACTTTACTCTCACTTTACTCTCATTTTACTCTCACTTTACTCCCGCTTTTCTCTCACTTTACTCTCACTTTACTCTCATTTTACTCTCGCTTTACTCTCGCTTTTCTCTCGCTTTACTCTCACTTTACTCTCACTTTTTACTCTCACTTTTACTCTCATTTTACTCTCACTTTACTCCCGCTTTTCTCTCACTTTACTCTCCGCTTTTCTCTCGCTTTACTCTCATTTTTACTCACTTTACTCTCACTTTACTCTCACTTTTACTCTCTCATTTTACTCTCGCTTTACTCTCGCTTTACTCTCACTTTACTCTCACTTTACTCTCATTTTACTCTCACTTTACTCCCGCTTTTCTCTCGCTTTACTCTCACTTTACTCTCACTTTACTCTCATTTTACTCTCATTTACTCTCATTTTACTCTCACTTTACTCCCGCTTTTCTCTCACTTTACTCTCACTTTACTCTCATTTTACTCTCGCTTTACTCTCGCTTTCTCTCGCTTTACTCTCGCTTTACTCTCACTTTACTCTCACTTTACTCTCACTTTACTCTCATTTTACTCTCACTTTACTCCCGCTTTTCTCTCGCTTTACTCCCGCTTTTCTCTCGCTTTACTCTCACTTTACTCTCATTTTACTCTCACTTTACTCTCACTTTACTCTCATTTTACTCTCATTTTACTCTCACTTTACTCCCGCTTTTCTCTCACTTTACTCTCACTTTACTCTCATTTTACTCTCGCTTTACTCTCGCTTTTCTCTCGCTTTACTCTCACTTTACTCTCGCTTTACTCTCACTTTACTCTCGCTTTACTCTCGCTTTACTCTCATTTTTCTCTCACTTTACTCTCACTTTACTCTCATTTTATTCTCACTTTTACTCTCACTTTATTCTCACTTTACTCTCACTTTACTCTCGCTTTACTCTCGCTTTACTCTCGCTTTACTCTCGCTTTACTCTCATTTTACTCTCACTTTACTCTCGTTTTACTCTCACTTTACTCTCATTTTATTCTCACTTTATTCTCACTTTACTCTCACTTTACTCTCACTTTACTCTCACTTTTACTCTCTCTCACTTTTACTCTCACTTTCGCTTTTCTCTCACTTTACTCTCACTTTACTCTCACTTTTTACTCTCGCTTTACTCTCGCTTTTACTCTCGCTTTACTCTCTTTACTCTCGCTTTACTCTCACTTTACTCTCTCTCACTTTACTCTCACTTTACTCTCACTTTACTCTCTCTCTCTCTTTTACTTTTACTCTCATTTTATTCTCACTTTACTCTCGCTTTACTCTCGCTTTACTCTCGCTTTACTCTCGCTTTACTCTCGCTTTACTCTCGCTTTACTCTCATTTTTCTCTCACTTTACTCTCACTTTACTCTCACTTTACTCTCATTTTATTCTCACTTTACTCTCATTTTATTCTCACTTTACTCTCATTTTATTCTCACTTTACTCTCACTTTACTTGCACTTTACTGACAGTTCTTTCGTTCTTCTCCTTCGTTCAGGATCCCGTCGGTTTCGGAGGTCGAGGCTCAGGAGGCCTTCAAACGTTTCGCCTCAGGTCACTGCTGCTGGAACTCTGGTCCGGCCAAAGACGGAGTCATCACCAACATGCAGCACTTCAACACTTACAGAGTAAATATAACACACACCGACATGCAGCACTTCAACACTCACAGAGTAAATATAACACACACCGACATGCAGCACTTCAACACTCACAGAGTAAATATAACACACACCGACATGCAGCACTTCAACACTCGCAGAGTAAATATAACACACACCGACATGCAGCACTTCAACACTTACAGAGTAAATATAACACACACCGACATGCAGCACTTCAACACTCAGAGTAAATATAACACACACCGACATGCAGCACTTCAACACTCACAGAGTAAATATAACACACACCGACATGCAGCACTTCAACACTTACAGAGTAAATATAACACACACCGACATGCAGCACTTCAACACTCACAGAGTAAATATAACACACACCGACATGCAGCACTTCAACACTCGCAGAGTAAATATAACACACACCGACATGCAGCACTTCAACACTCACAGAGTAAATATAACACACACCGACATGCAGCACTTCAACACTCGCAGAGTAAATATAACACACACCGACATGCAGCACTTCAACACTCACAGAGTAAATATAACAGACTTTAAATAATAATAATACAAATATAAAGGTGATAAATTAATAGAAATAAGAAGCAAAAAAGAGCAACAAATGTGAAATAAACAATTACACACACAGACACACACACACAGACACACACACACACACACACACACACACACACACACAGACACACACACACAGACACACACACACACAGACACACACAGACACACACACACACACACACACACACACACGACACACACACACAGACACACACACACACACACACACAGACACACACACACACACACACAGACTTTAGCAGCAGTTTAACACCTTCAGAGTTGATCTTCTGACACTTGTGTGACATAAACGCACAGGGAGCCAGTGTAACTCTAACAGAGTAAAAATATTTTACACACGAGAAGATCATTCTACTGATCCTCACACCGGCTGAGTCCCGGCTGAGTCCCGGCTGAGTCCCGGCTGAGTCCCGGCTGAGTCCCGGCTGAGTCCCGGCTGAGTCTCGGCTGAGTCCCGGCTGAGTCCCGGCTGAGTCCCGGCTGAGTCCCGGCTGAGTCTCGGCTGAGTCCCGGTTTAGTTCTCACAGCAGTAAAAGTTTTATTTTGAGCAGTGACACCAGAGCGGCACATTCACAGCTGTAAACCTCTGTCAGGTCACATGACCTTAGGTCCTGGTTCAGTCCTGGTTTAGTCCTGGTTTAGTCCTTCTGTCATGTGTGTGTTTTGTTGCAGTATCGTTTGGAGACCTTCACTGAGTCCAGGTCGACCGAATGGGCCGAGAAACCCCACGAAGGTGACACTGCTCTGTCCTCTCCTCTGATTGGCCGTTTTAAACCTCTCCTCTCCACTGATTGGCCATTTTAAACCTCCCCTCTCCTCTGATTGGCAGTTTTTAACCTCTCCTCAACTCTGATTGGCTGTCTGTGGTTGATTGACAGGTGAGGTGGCTGATTTCTACACTCAGCCCGCCCCGCGACCCTGGGAGGTCGCGGCCACGC